AATGGGGAGGTTGGTGGCCCTGCATGTGGCAGGAGAGTTGGAGATTCATGATCCTTGAGGTCCCTTCCAACCCGGGCCATTCTGTGATTCTGTGATTCAGATAAATCATCACATGTAAGAGGCCCTGATCTGTATGAAACTGCTGGCTCTTTGACTCATGTAGAGATATTTTCTCGCACAGCCATTATGTCAGCTCCTACCCTTCTGTAATATTAAGGAAACTAATCAATTATTTCCAATAACTTTATAAAGCCCATTAGGTATGTCATTGTAAACTCTTCTTGTTTCAACCTCTGACATACACTGACATTTGCAGAATCTCATATGCAAATAAGCGTTGTCCTTACAATTGATTTCTGTTCTAGGATTTATTTATCCTATGTTAAAAATGCAGTTGATAGCTTAAATTTTGTGAAAATATCTTCAAGTCTTTGCCATGAAGAACTAGTGTTTCTTTCCTATAATTGCAATGTATTATACTGTTTCTCTAAAGCGATACAATATTCTAAAATTACAATGCACTCACCTTCATTTAGATTTCACATACAAAAATATTTTCATAGTTACCATAGGATTCTTCACAAATTTGCAGTATCAGTAGCAATGAAACATTATGATGATATGTCCCAATGTAATATCATCATATTAGAAAGAAGGCATAATAGAAAGAAGTGACAGATTTAGCTGTAAAAGTATACTTACCTTCATATGTTCCACTTTCTAAGAGAGCACCACTTTTCTCCAATTCCATAAAATCTTCAACAGTGATGAAAATATAGTCCACACCAGGGACCTCCCCCTCCTTATGTGGCCTTGTGGTGCCTATTAATAAAAATGAAAGACATGCTGTCAAATACATGACCTAAATTTAGAATGATCTGCTTGAAAGTTTTGTAAAATTTACAAAGTAAACTGTTTATACAACACATTATATAGCACATCATCCTCTTGAAGATGTTTTTCAAAACCATATAGTTACACTCTGTGAAGCTGACACAGGATATGAGATGCCTGTATATGGCTGGGCCAGATGCTCTTTGGACTCAAGTTATTTATTTTTGCTGATGAAAAAGCATGATACTGCTATACCTTTTACTTTACTATAGAAAGACTGTCACAGTGAGACCAGGCAAAGTTACCAAGAATTTCTGATGCATTTTCATAGCTTCGGAAAAAGTCTTGTCTGCAAATAATCAATTTCATGCTCTTTTAAACATTTATTTAGTACTCAAAACAATAAATCTGTAAGAAAATTTACAAGGGTTATGTTCATATTGCTTGTTTCATGCCTTATGTGGACTTGATAAATGGATAGGCTTGACAGATTGAGTGGCCTAGATCACCTGCCAACTATGCTGTCAAACTGCAAAGATGCTTAAATTTAGTTATTGCTTCTATTGCCATCTCTAGATGACAGAGTTCCATAAATGCTGAGAGACAGTATTTCATACATGCTGAGAAATGACTCAGATTTAGGTAGCAGAAGGTGAGATGTTTGCAAAGAACAATCTGAATTTGACCTGACTTCCTGATAACACCCCACCACTACTATTTTTTTTTTTAAATGACCAGACTATCCCCATTTTGACTGAAACACTTAAAATTCCATTTGAAGGTGGGTGATTTCTAGGTCCTACTCAGACTCAGTGTTTTAAATATCTTTATCAGTCAACTTTTATTTATGCTGTTGTATTTATGCTGTAACCTTTTAACACTATTGAAAGGTTTGGTTTCAGTACTGTCGGCACAAGGAAGCTGATAGAAACAAAATCTTCCTCTTCTGTCCATTAAGTTTAGCATTATAATATTGTGCAAAAGACACTGTCTCTTCCTTAGTTATTAATCCACTTAACCTTAAACACTACATTCTCACTCTTGTGTTATGCAGCAGAGACTCAGGAATCTGTTCAGATCAGTTTACTTCATCCATTTTTTGATGCTTGTTATCCAAACATTGGATTTAAACCTGATGAATCATTTTGTGTGAGATCCTTTGTGAGATTAATATAGTTGTCTACAAGTTGTTCCACATGCATAAGCTATTAAAGTCAGAGATCTTATCAATGGTACAAGCAAGAGAGCTATTCAGCTGCCTACACACTAACAGTTCAGTTCATTGAGCTATACGCAGGACTTTTTGTGGCAGGTGCCTGGGTTATCTCACATCAAAAGGAAAGTCACAAAAAAATGAAGGACACATGGAAACCCACATCCTTTTGGAACTGCATCAAGGAGAAAAGGACAATACCCTTGGGTACTTCAATTACTGCTAGTTTCTTGTGCTTAAGCAACGGAATTAAGCCCTAAAGTGTAGCCGTCAATCTCAAACCAAATTCCACTCTTCAGCTAGTTCTAATGGAGATTTCTGTGCCATGAACTGCATTAGACGTGCTACTTTTTCTCCTAGCGAGTCCTGCTGGCTTGTGCTTTGCACTAGCCACGTGCTGGATAGCCTTTAGAGTTATCCAAAACCCTCGTCAGCACACACCTAATGGTGTGTTAGTTTACCACACGGACTGCTCATCATAGGCACCTCTCTCTCTCCTCATAAGCACCCTGAGAGTCTGTGGCAAAGACCTGAGAAACCACAATTTCCAGAAGTCTACATCAGGAATATGTTTTGATAGATAAGACTCTCATTCCTTCATTTGTCTATTTTCAATTCTCTTTTCATCTCAAAATTTAAAAGTAAAATCCTTCTTACTTGGCACCACATTTCTGAGACATTCATATTTGCAGAAGAATAATTACTGCATTTCAGGGAGGGCACAACTAAAGCACTGAAACACTTGCTGCATCCTCATATATGCTGAATGGACTCCATATGGAATATCTGACCCCTGGAGATGCAGCAGCATCCTCAAAGATCTCCAGTCCCTTCTGATAACTTTGCAGAAGCTCAGGGATCCCAGCAAGCACATGAGCTCCTGGGAGCATTACTAACAGCTCAGGCATCAGATGTTTGATCTGCATGCTCTCTCCTGAGGAATGTTTCACTCCCACTGTCTATTGACAGGAACAGTATCTTTCTCACAGAACACCAGGGAAAAGAAAACCAGCAAATAACAGCTATTATATTTCTAGGCAAGGAGCTGGGAAGAAGCTTGCATATTAGATGAATACCACTAATTTACTATTTCTTCAGTATTTTTTTGTGGTCAAACTAAGATTACTGGGAGTTTAACAATCATTGATGAATCAGAAAAAAATACAAGTTACAAAAAATATGGTGATAATCCCTGCTTTGAGTGGAAAGTTGAACCAGATTACCTACTGAGCTCCTTCTCAGTGATTCTACATATTATCAATACACTGCAGTTTATTTTAAATACATGGATATTCTATGGTCTTATCCAGCAAGGATGACTATGAAGTCTTATAACAGGTCCAAAACCAGATGCAGTTATCTGGTTTTTGTTTTTCTGCTTTGGTAATCTACTTTTGGACACTTTGCCTAGAATTAACTTTCACATTGCTATCAACATGTCTGTTATTCCAGAGAAGTGTAATGGACTAGCTTTTAAATTCTGAATCTGTCTTCATTTGGAATCTTCCGTCCTCCTGTGACCAAGCTGCATTCTTTCATATATGGCATATATATGAGAAATACATAAAAAATGTTTGCATGTGCCCTGCACTATGAATTGAGTATTCTGTCTAAGCTGCTGTCTGACTTTCAAATGAAATTCATGTTCCAGTTACGAACTATATACAGACTTTGTATCCTTAACACACTGCTTAACACTTCTCCATTTAAATTACACTCTGATTCCCACATGTAAAATAGCCAAGAGATGCCTTGTATTTAGAGCAACTGATGCAATCATTATCTTGCTCAGTAACACTGAAATTTCCAACAACTCCCATTCTACTTCAATATCAAACTAAGATTTCTGTTGCAAATCAGAAAGAATCAGAACTGCACTACACTGTCACTGGTGTCACTGTACACAGTTTCTTGATTTAGATTTCTAAGTTTTCTCCCTAAATTCTCTAAGTGACTAAAGAGCTAATGGTGAATCTGATGCTTTCCCTGTCCCTCTTGTGCCCCATGATTGCGCTAGAAACCCCAGCAGGAAGAATCATTTCTCGTGAAGACTGAATGGAAATAGGTAAATTACATAAATTAATATTTTCAAGGAGTTTTCTAGAAAATTTCTCGCCAGTTACCTTTATTTGCAATATCTCTCCTACAGTGTCAAGAGATAATACTGTCACTCAGTAACATGAAAGGTTGCACTCTTTAAGAATCCTTAGGCACCCTGATCCAGGAGCTCTGTATTTTACAGTATGCTACTCCTGCATGATAGAAACTGCTCCCTTCCTCCAGAAAATAGCAATCAGAGCAAACCATGATCTACTGAAAACACCCTGCACGTATTAAGGGTGACTCTTACCTCAGGTATAGCATTTCCATCCCAGCCAGAACTTTATTGCCCTTGATTAAATCTTACTGAGTCCCATTTTCTTCCTGCATCTGTTCTCATTCCCTCAGCCTGGAGGATCTGAGATCTTTCAAATGGTTAAAGCAATTCCCTGGCTAATGGAGTAATCAATAGTTATCACCTCTTTTACTCCTTTACCTTGGAGGAACAGAGTTGCTGCTATTAATACTTCTGCCTTCTTTATACCTTTCTGTAAGCACCATAAGTTATGCAATGTGCAGGTTAACAGATTTAGAAGCAGGTACTGGATAATCCTAAATACCCATCAAATTCTGAACACTGAGGTCTATATATAGGAATCTTGTAGATCACAGACAATCTTTACTTTTCCTTGCTTTTAAACTAATATAGAGTAAATAGAGTAAATGTTCTTAAAAGATTTTGCCTTTAGCTACACTCATAGACAGATAGGCAGGCATAAAAGCTACAGTGATTCAAGAATTAAAACAAAAGATTAATTTCAAGCCTTTTTTTTAAACAGAAACACAACATCTTTTATTATACAGAATCAAGGCTCAACAAGACATAGTTCCTACAGCTTATGTTTAGCCTTTTATTAATGTAAAATGAACATAGGGACCTAGTTACCATTTTGTTACCATGGTAATGTATGAAAAAATAATCTTTGAATTCTGTTGCAAAAGAACACGATACTTTCAGATCTTGTAGGATCAAAAGCAGTATGGCACATTTGCACTATTTATATTTATGACAAATGCAGTCTATTGTTGCTGCTGAACAGAAGACACACAAGGAGTAACTTGCAAGTGACCCTGACTGGCCCATACAAACATGATGTCAGACAGGGTGGAGCTCCCTTAGGAGCTACAGGAGTTTTGGTCTACACAATCCGAAATGATACTGACTGGCTGACTTCATGAGGATGAGTACTCATAGCATTTCAGAGCAGCGGCTTTAACAAGCTTGTTTATCTGCAAACCTGAAAAAGCTATTAAACTCATTAATATTGACTTCTCACAACTATTAATTTCAGTAACTGGTATCCTGCTTATACTTGGTTGTGAGAGAAGACTGAGTAAGGTCAGCCTGAACAGACTAGGATAGACCCTAGTGGTGAAATAATCAATTAAGAGCAGCTTTAAACTTATTTTATTCTTTAAACTATTTTACCAGTAGCCACGACTGGATATCATTTATTCAGTCGCTATTAAAGTTCTTTGTCTTCCAATTCTTAAAACATTTCATGGTGGGCAATAGTTATGCAATGACAAAGGGATCTGCTCTCACTCAGAAAAATTACTCTGAATTATTAACCAGGATCTAAAGCAAACAGCAACTGGAATTATGAAGCACAAAAAAGCAAAAATCCTGAAGTTTTCCGAGTAGTGGTACATTTAGAATTATAAAAATGAACAA